CCAGCTCATTAAATTAGCCACTGTAAGATTTAGTGACTTAACATGGTCATTCCACCATGTTAGAGCTCGGTCAGAAAAGGTGCAAGCAACAAATTTTACTTTACTCCCTTCGGGGCATGAGCAGATCTCAAAGACTACTTTAGTTTTCTCAATCCATTGGGTTAGAGCCATGACTCCCCCACTCCCATTAAAGCTTCTAGGTTTTCCATTTGTGAATTTCTTATAAGTACACACCCGTGGGTGTCCCTAACTTTCACCGTGATTGCAGGGATGAGCACCATTCCCAGATCCACTGGTACCAGTTGTATTTATTTACAGCGTAGCAGCTGCTACAACTGTAGTGACCGCTGATTGAAACATAACAACGTCAAACTGTGGAGGTGGTGGTGGAGCTACATTGACATTGACACGACTTGGATTTCTTCTTGGAGGCATCTTTGTCTATAATGATTTAAGAAAAATGATGATAAGCATTCTATAGTGATCATGAGTCAGGTGATGTTGAATAAAACATATTTTAATTCCAATTGCATTATTCCCCGATTGACATAATGTTCTATTAAGTGGTTTACAATAAATGTCTACTAATATAAGTAAACAATCGTAAAAAAAATTTGTTTTGTTTATAGCAACACCTGTGTTGTATAATGTATTTTGTACTAGGTTCTTCTATGCTTATTTAATGTATACAAGTTGTATGTAATTAAACTTTAAAGAAACTGTTGAACATAATAAGTCTGCCTTAAGTTCACAACCAAAAAAGGAACAAGGCCTAAAGCGGACCTACCATTTCTAGGTCGATAAAATTTTAATTACATAAAACTTACACACATTAAATAGTTATAGATTTATCATGGATAGTCAAAATGTTACGAACATTGTGGTAATTCCAAATAAAAATAAGATGCTTATCATTTGATACCTATTTTTGTACATATAGTCAAAAATATTTCACCTTAATATAAATTTATATAATATCTATATAAGGAAAACTTACCAGTATTACAACCTACAAGTAGTGCAGTCACTTAATCGTAGGGTAAAGTTTTACATAAAAAGTAATATACACATCTATTTTATTAAAAGAAAGGAGTAGTCTAAACACTACTTGCGGCGAGCATGATTCTTGGCAATGGATTCTGCAGCCTGGTGCTCTCTTTCTCTCATACGCCTTTTTAGTGAAGTTTGATGCTCCCTAAGTGTTATAATCTCATTTCAAGCAACACTCATTTCTTCATGAAGCATGTCTGTGTGGTGTCTGGTTTCATCGTGAACTCTATCTAAACGATGAAGGTTTTTGGTGTTTATTTGGGAGGCAGCAATGACTTCTAGGATTCGGTTGATCGATATCTGAGATTGATCAACCTAACGAGAAATGCGGCGCACTATAACAGAGAAGGCCATGTCTGTCGAGCCTCCATTGCTGAGGTTATAGAAGCTTCTGGCCATTCCAAAAGGAGGGTGTTGTCCTTGTTGTTGGCTCCACCTATGTAGTTCTTCGCCCCATGCTAGTGTCGGACTATGGAAAACCTGTCCAGCTATAATGTTTTGACCAACCGATGGTGGATTGTATATTTCTGGGTCTGAGTCTGTACCTTCTGAATCTTCCTCGTGATCCTCTTTAGGATCCTCTACTATCCACCCATTATTCGCTTGACCCGGGAAGTAAGGATCTCCATGTGGAGGATATCTTGCCATATAGTCTATACGAGAAATTAAAGGTAAGATGCATAGAAAGAATGTAGTTTCATAGTATTACAAAATACTCCTATAGTATTTTAAATTTGTGTTCTGCTCTAGAGTTTCTTCTGTATATGTAGTTGGTAATTGTCCAAGTTTAACTGCAGTGTCCAACATCCGAATACTTTTAGGTAGTTACAACTATGATATTGTTCCTGTATGTCTAAGTGCTAGTATACTTCTTAATAAATACTTATATTTTAAAAGCATACTTGTAGTCAGAGCACTCCGGCC